AAAAAAAAAAAAAGAAGTCCGAAGGACATTCAGGGACTAGCATAGTAGCTGCGTGGTCACTGGGGACCCAAGCTCTTTTCACCTTTCAACTTGACTAGTTCAAGGCTTCCACCCCAGGGTTAACTCGTGGTCCAAGAGGAACAGTTACAGTCACCCTAAGAGTGCCGCCACCCAGTCATCCCTTCCGAGCCTGGGAGAACTGCCATGGCCACACCAGGCAGGCACGTGGGGCTGGGAAATGCAGTCTGAAGAGGGTCACAGCGCTGCCCCAGATGAAACTGAGGTCCCAGTACTGAGAAATAAGGAGAAAGCATATTGGGTGGCAAGTCATTGTCTCTGCCATAGCCAGGAAAGAACGAGACTCCTCACCGTCTATGTCTTATACCTTCCCAAACCATATAGGCAAACGACGAAAATCCAATCCCAAACCCCTTGTTCTGAGTGAAGCTAGAAAGCAGTTAATGATCTACAGACTACCTCAGGTCCTCCGGCTGCACCTTAAAAGATTCAGGTGAGCTTGCTCTGGGGCCTTCCAGGCGGCTGTGAGCTGTGGGGATGATAGCTGCCTCAAAGGCTTTGGTGAGGGCAGATGTCTTCTTTGGTGTTGGGAGGGGAAGCCTATTCCCTAGAGACCTTGCACTTTCCATGGCGACTGAATGCTTCCTGCCCAGTAAGGCATGTTAATGGGGGTGCCCAGGACAGGACTTCAGCTCGCACAGCCCTGTCTCATCAGCTAGCCTGCACTGGGCGTCTGCTTGGGAGATTCTCTAGCCCCACTTGGGCTTATAAAGAGTCGTTTTCAGAACCAAGTATGACATAATCTGTGAAAAGAAGGGCAGACAGTAAACTACAAAAAGATTATTGCCCAACTGCTTGTTTTAGGGATTTCTAGTTTCAGAGTACATCATGGAACATTCACAGGAAATATATGTGGGCATTGATCACTGTTTTATTGATGCAAAAGCCACATCTTGAAGATTATGTTTTCTCAGTTCCGTTTTTTACCTTCCTCTACCTAGGATAACGTATGCCATTTTTGACTAGTATGAACTTTATATCCATGCTTTAGGTGGTCTGGCCGTAATCATCGAGAGAAGATTGGGGTCCATGTCGTCTTTGACCAGGTATTAACCATGGAACCTTACTGCTGCAGGGACATGCTCTCCTCTCTTGACAAAGAGACCTTTGCCTATGATCTCTCCGCAGTGGTCATGCATCACGGGAAAGGGTTTGGCTCAGGACACTACACAGCCTATTGCTACAACACAGAGGGAGGTGCGTGCGCTTGACTCTGTGGGGTGGGGGACACGGAAAAGGGTTGGCGAGTCCACATTCCATTGCTTTCCTTTTATTTCATCTATAGGGATATTACATACATGAAAATCTAGTGGAAAGAATTATGAAAGTTGAATTCAAATTTTGGATATATCACCAAGTGACAACAGAAGATTGTTCTAAGAATTGACAGGAACCAACACATATAAAAGTACTTAGCATGGTTCCTAGCACATAATGCTCAATTAATTTTAGAGGTTTCTCATTGTTATTAATACTTCTGCAGACCTCCATTTCCTTCGTGGTTAAGCAGAAATGCTATGACTTTCATAACCTCATGGAGATACTGTATGAATCTCACCAGCCCCAGCTCCCAATAAAGCTGAAGACATTTCCTGAGCACTTCCTATGTCCTTACCATAGGAGGTATGGGGGGTACAAGGGCCCCGCTGAAGGAGCTTTCAGTCCTTGTCCCCCCAGAGCACAGCCTCCCAGCTACTGTGCACTGAGGTGGGTGGGCTGCGGCTGTGTTTTTTGTCATGAACCCCTCAGCCCTTAAGGCAGCTGGGGTGAAATAACTTTTTATTCCTTCTAAATTCCCCTTTATTACTCCTCCATGTACATTTCACCTCGCCCCTCCTCTTCCCTTCTCTTAGCCCCCAATCTTCAGGCTACTTTTGTAGAAGGCCCTAGTGGGCAATGAAAGAACCTGAATAAAATGAGGACAAAAATTACAGTCAGTCGATACTGTAAGTAGTATCGAGGGTGGGCTTGGGTGGAGTCAAAGCCGGTGGTTGCAGGAAAGTCTGTTGGTTTCGTTTACCAGTGTTCCACACCCCCTCCCCAACCCGCGCCCCACCAGTCAGGGGTTGGTTCTGTTCAGAACTCCTCTGTCCCTTTCTTCATCTCCCGGTTTTGCCTGCCGATTGGAAATATGAGTGGGGTAGTCACTTTCTCTCTTTCTTTCCTTTGGTTTCCTAGGTTTTTGGGTCCACTGCAATGACTCAAAGCTGAATGTATGCAGTGTCGAGGAAGTGTGCAAAACTCAAGCCTACATCCTTTTTTACACTCAAAGAACAGTTCAGGGCAATGCAAGAATTTCAGAAACCCAACTCCAAGCTCAGGTGCAGTCCAGCAACAACGATGAGGGCAGACCACGGTCCTTCCCCTGAATGGGAGGCACGTTTCAAGGACTGGCTTGCTTTTAAACTATTGGTGTTCGTATATCTTTCCTCTTACAGGAAATAAGGTTTAGTGCAGGAACAGAGTACTAGGTTTGCCTCACTGGGGCTACAGCAGAGAAGGTGCTAGGTGACTCATGTTCTGTCATAAAATCTGTAGTCACTTTCTTTTGAATGGATTTGGGAATTCCCTCCTTTGATAACAAATCAAAAGGAGTAACTTCTATGAAGATTCTTTCATCAGTTGCTTCTGAATAGAGAGGATCTGGGTGGAGGAAAGAGGGGGTAAATTGATCATATGCAGCCGGGAGAGCAGCCATGTTTTCTTTCCATTACGCGATTCCCCCACTAATCAGGACTTCCTTGCGGCCCCAGAAGAACCCTCCTGATGTGAGCAGCCCTGGACAGAGCACGTGAGGTGGGGCCCTGGGCTGGCAGTTTGCTGGATGGGATTGGTTCCAAGGCAAGAGGTGAATAATGCTTTGTCCCCACAAAGGAAGTAAAGGGTTGAAACCCCTTTCAACCCCACAAAGAGTTGAAAACTTCCAGACTTCCTTTTTTTAGGGGATAGCAGTGGAAGAGTGGAATGGGATGCATAGAGCAAATTTGCCCCATGCAAAACGGGAGGTTTTTCAAGTGTCCTACCCTCCCTGGCTGCTGCTGTCATTTAATCATTCCACGTCGTCTTGAGACTGGCATGAACGTCCCTTCATTCTAAAGAAGGAGCAGTTCATATGGGGAAGCAATAAACTGGTCCATGACTTGTTCTTTGTTGCATGCTGAGCCTAAGGGCACCCCTGGCTACCCAGTTCTGTAGCATGTCTCTGGTTCGGGTGTAGGGTAAGCACATGGTTTGGTGTAAATTGGTCATTAGGCCAGTTGTCTGAGGCTGTCTCAGAACTCAGTTGAGGGTAGGCAGGGATAGCTGGTGGTCCAGGCCTTATCTGAATGCCCATCACCTGTTCTCACCTTGGTGCAGCATGCAGCTTTTCTTAGCCTGCAGCTTCTTTCTTGCACCTGGAGGGCTAGAACATTCTTGTTCAGCACAAGGTTTGGGAACTTCTGCTTTCCTAGGGCTTAGGAATCTGCCCCCATATGTCCGAACAGTTCATGCTGCTGGTCCTGGCCTGTTTCCTCCCAAATTTGATAATCCCTACTGTTTGTTTACCCACCTACACTCAGTCCATCGGAGAGGAAAAAAAAAAAAAAGAGTGCCCTGTCCTTTACTTAAGTGCTAGTGAAATACATATTTCTTTTTATACGGGGTCAGTTTCTAAGTGGAATGAAATTGCCTGGATGGAAACCCTCCTCCTCATCAGGCACTACTGAATTTCCCTTCTCAGTCCTGCAGTAAAAGTGAACGCAAACCGGAACTCTGACTGCGGGGGCTGCTGCAGCCCGCCTCAGCCTGTCACTATGAATGCTCATCTTCTGACTGAGTGTATCATATTAATGTTTCAATTCAGGTAGAAGTCACAGTTGTCACTTGAAGGAACCAGATGTGGAGGGAGTTTGGGGAACGGTGGGAGGTTGGGAAAAGAGCGGGTAAGAATGAGAGTCGTAGCTTGGGGGGGGTGTTGATGAGCCCCATTTCCAGAGCAGATCTGTAGCATTTGCTGTTGACCTCTTTTGAGATGGACTCTCCCATAGGACCTGTCAGACAGCACTGAGACATGGAGGAAATTCAGACAGAAAATGGCTCACCCTGATAAAGAAGGGGGAGTGATTATATTTTAAATTAAACTTGCTTTTTCCAACACTGTGAGGTTTCTGTAATATTTAGCTTTTATTTGGAAGCGATAGCGTATGGCATTTTTTATGCTATTTGGTTTATATTGTCTACTGCAGGCTTCTTTGTACAAGCTTGGCCCGGGCTCACCCTCTCCTGGACACTGTTTTAAAGTGTCACAGCTGCCCATGCTGCCAGAGGCTCTGAGGTAAAGCTATACTCTAGATCCACATTTTTAAGTTGGCAGGATTGATGATGACTTCTTATGGCAATGGAAAAGCCCATTAACTCAAAAACAAAAACAAAAAACAAGCAAAACCCCAAGGAGAGTAAAAAGGAAAATATAAATTGTGCCTCATCTTTCTTTGAATGCTATATTTGTTATTCTAGAAAAAGAGAACTTACAAATGGAAAAGAACTAAATAGAGCATCTACTTCATCCCTCAGGCTGTCCAGGGGGAAATACTTAAGAAAAATGAACATTTAATGGAAAATTAAAAGATCTTCAAATTTAATTTTTAAAAATAGTTTTATACCAAATATTTATAAGAATTATTAAGCAGGTTTAAGGACTTTGTGAAATAAATGCTTAACTTAGCTGAGCACCCTTGTTATCAAATTAGTAAAATTGTTTAAAATGAGTTGGAGTAGAAACCACCCCCAGAGTCCTCACTGAGCTGCGTACTCTCGAAGGTGCCCCTGCAGTCACAGACACCTCAGGTACCCAGAGGCAGCAGCACTAGACGCTGTTGAGAAGTTAGTATTTATGGAGATTTTTATTAAAGAGTTCCCTGCTGCATAAGCCAATGGCTGTTGTGAGGGAAATGTCCCTTTGCCTTTAATTTATTTACATATTGGAAGTAGATGGATTTTTAGTTGCATCTTATTACTTTAAACTGAAACATTCTAAAGAGAAGATAAGAACCAGGTAGACGCTGACTAGATGCTGCCAAATCAAACCCGAGATCTCCTAACTGAACCTTACGGGGCCTGCTTCTCCCAGGCAAGTAGTTAGAGTCCCGTTCCAGGAACCCTTTGTAGTTGGCTGGTGTGTTTACTTTCTGCTGTAGCCAGCCAAGATGAATGCACCCTGGCCCTCAAAAAGGATTTTTACCTCAATCTAGTCTGACCCTCATACTTGTGGTTGCCTCTGAGATGAGCAGCCATGCTAGTGTTTAAAAAAAAAAAAAAAAAATTTAGGAATGCCCTCAACAGCCAGGAACTGAAGCTCTTAGTAAATGGTGGGCAGAGCTCTTGCCAGTTTTGATCCAGCCCCCTCTCAGGCTGAGGGGGGCAGTGCCACACTGAAAAGAATTTCCAGATGTCTCTTAAAATGTCATGAATAAAATTAGAAACTGTAGAAGTGTTAATGTGTCCTATGGACTCAATAGCAGAGTTTATTTTTGTTTTTAATGGCAAGGCTTCTAGAGTCAATGATTGTATGAGTTCCCTACTCTGGCTACACTTATATAGCTTCATCCAAGTGCAAGAACTAATGACGTGGATTGGCTGGCATGGGGCATGACCCTGCCCAGGCCCCCGCATAAGCCTGAGAGAAATCAACAGTAGTACAGAAGGAAAACTTGGTTGGGATGGGGGGGCGGGATGCGGGTGGGCAGGCAGGGAGGGGGGAGATGGAGTTTGTTTTACTTACTGATAAAAGCTTTGTGAACTAATTTTATACAATTCATAACATTTGGTGCCTTGTACCCAGTTACGGTTTGCATGGGATTGAAAAGATTAAGGGAAAGGATGTCGCCTTGTCATTTCGAGTGGCAAATGGGTCTGTACAGTGTAAAGGACATTTGGTATCAGACTTTTTAAAAGCATTTCATCTCATGTGTGTGAAAGATAATTATTCTTACCAGCAAGTTCTAAAATTTTACTGTAATGTCCAAAATCTTTGGATTTGTGACTATTCATCAAATGGCTGCTTTTCAAGGCAGACTATGTACCCCGTTCTTTCTCACCACCCCTTTTATGTTCCAAACATTAACTCGGTCCTTTTCGGGTAGGCTGGGAGTGCTACCTCTTCCCAAACATATACTCTACCCCTTTCGGGTTATACCTTATGAGTGGAAGGGCTGCTTTTCCAGCTGGTTGGGAGAGCACAAATGTTCAGAAAGGGCCTTTTTTTCTAGTGCTGGGCAACTTATAGAAGTCAAACAAAAATCATTCCTCCTGAAGTATTACCTTCATTAGTTCTGAAGTTCTTTTGCACAAAATTTCAGGAAGCAGTGTAGTACACAATCCCCTATATGTGAACCTTTAGATTGTAAGGCAAGCCAGTGCACTGTGTAATAAGCAAAAGAGAAGGCTCAAAGAACCTGTTCCAGCCCCCTGGCCCCTTTCCCTGGCAGGCGCCGACTGGGATGGTGCTGAGTGGCTGTGGAAGGGGAGAAGACCCAGTCTGCTCACCTGCAGGGCTGTTTACAGCCTGTTCCTTTTACTCTGACCTTAAGGTTTCCATTAAGCTCATGAGACTTCACCAAAGGGTGTTTTAAAAGCTCACCACTTGAAGCACATTTGATAATTGGTTCCTTCAGCCTAATTAGGTGAGGAGGTTGTACTTTTGGAGCAAAATCTCCCATGGCAACTAAGGTTGTTTTTTTTTTACTGGGTAAGTATGCATCTCCCTGGTGGTTCAGATTCTTTTTGAAATCAGCAGTAAAGCTGAAAGCGCCTTCTAAATATGACTGTGAGTTTAGTTTAGATCTTTCACGTTTAACCATTCTCTTGGTCTAGGGCTTCGACTTTAACCTAGTGTTTATTCCTTCAACCCACACATTGCTCTAAATACACCATAGCTACTCTAGCATTGAGGCAAATGGTCATTTTTGTGGACTTTTTCCTTACTTATTTCTGCTGGCATATTTCCATTTAAAATCTAACCAGGTAGTATAAGAGCTTTCTGTAGTACTATGTTAACCAGCCAGGGTCGAAAATCATGTGACAGATGTGAAATTGACTTCGCTTGGGGAGAATGTTGTGTTGGAATGGTGAAAGCCAACATTTTAATTTACAGAATTAATGACTGTTCGTCGAAATTCTGGGAAATTGTAGATTTGATAGCTTTACTTGCTAAATTCTTAACACTTTGAGGAATTAAGCCAGTTTAAATGAAACCTTACCTTGCCAGTATTATGGCTTTATAAACCAACTAACAGTAAACACTGTTACTTGAAGCTAAAACATAAAAATTTTGAGTGAAATATGAATTATGCTTTGGAAGCTGCCATGTCTTAATTTTTGCTGGATTTTTATTTTCAACTTTTAAAAACTTTATAAAATAGAACTGTTCACAGTTATGAGTAGATCGGGTCACAGACTTCAAGGATCTGTTTCATACCTATGAAGAAGAGGCAGGAGGTGCTGGTATTTCTTGTCTTAGCAGTGGTCTGATGCAGATCTGAAGGGGCTTAGAATCTATGCTGTGGCTTAAAAGTTTCCTTCCTGGTCACCATCTGGGAGGTGATGGCTTCAAACCTAAGCCCTGCTCTCGTGTATGTGACCCTTCCTCATCTTAACACCCAGTAAGATGGGTGTTAACACCTGTCAAATCATCTGTGGTCCCAGTAGATAGATTCTTAGAGGGTACTGGCTTCATGGTAAGCCATCCACAGGCCTGAATTCACACATGCTCAAACTCCTCCCTAACAGATGGGACCTATCTGATTACTGCAAGAGAATGGTGCTTTGTAAAATATATATACACAGTCTAATTCTCAAACAGATTTCTGAGCGAGATTTATGCAGGTAGGGTCAAAAAAGTGGACTGTTTTGTCCTATTTACCTTTTGTGAACAGACTGCTAGACAGCTGTCAACTCTTCACAATTAAGGCCACTGTGGAGCATTCATACTGACCCCCCCCTTTCCATGTCCTTTAATCCCATACCAGTTGCATAGGAGAGTTGGCATGGAAAAGCGGGATTTTAAAAAATGACTAGTAGATGGGGTGCCTGGCTGGCTCGGTCAGAAGAGCATGTGACTCTTGATCTCAAGGTCATGAGTTCGAGCCCCACACTGGGTGCAGAGAGATTAAATAAACTTAAAAAATAGTAAATAAATAACGCCTAGAATAAATCAACTGGGGGGGTGGAAATGCCTGGGGAAACTGTCTTTATCGCCACATCTCTCTGAGCCTACACGAGTCTTTTCCATGCCAGTTCTTTACATACTCCAAAGAACTCCTAACTCTTGGACAGTTACACTATTGCAAATTTAGGGTCAGAAAACCTCTATTTCCATGTGAAGAAAGCAGCTTCCTCAAGCAGTGTCACTTCAGTGCCCACTGCCCAGGCTTGCTTACACCTTGCCTCCACTGCACATGACTGCCCTCCTTCGACCAACAAATCCCACTTGACGACAGCAACAATGCCCCTCTGGTGCCTGGAAAACCCACCTGGTGCACTAAAATGCTATGCAACACCAAATGGCTTCTTCCCCTAGTTCTGCTCAAAAGTGGAAATTCCTCAAAAATAAGTTTCACCTTATGTTGACATCAATGTACAGTGGCTACAGTTTCCTTTCTTTTTTTTTTCCTTTTAATATGAAGCAAACCACCTCTGTTACAATCCATGTTTGGGGGCTTGTTCCTGTCTCTGGAGTGTGAAATATAAATCATGTTTTTATGATTTTTGTAAATCTTGACTTTTTACACCTTGTTTTTGTAAGCTGAAGTTTCTTATTAAAAGAATAAAATGATTCTTTGTGTACAGTCTTTATTCCAAATATTTGTTAAAATACCATTAGGTATTCCTCAGGACAAGAGCAAAGATCACCCCCTGCAGAAACTTAGGAACTATGTACAGAACTTTACAGAACAGAGGACAACACTTTGGTTGCAACGTGACTGCTGACCAGAGAACGGAATCCTGAGCGGGCTCAGTGGAGAAAAGGAAATTGGGAAGGGAAGGTGCCCGTCTGAATGAAACTTCAACTTCCATCAGGGCAAGTCTTGTGCCGGTCACAGATTGGAGGCTCTGTTTTTGGAAGGTTCAAGGAGAGCACAGGGGGTCCCATGTGTCTGCAATCAGACCACAGGACAACACGTGACATTAGAACTATAAAAGCACTGGAAGGAAATTAGTAAGAGACTCAAAATTTCTTGCAACATCTGTAAACACATTTAACTAGGAATAATAGCCACGGGACTTCTGGAAGTCTCCTTCCTGTATTTTGTGAATAGATTATATAAATTACTGCTTCTCTCAACTTCTAGAGCTCCTAGACACGCAGAGCAGTAGTTAAGTGCTTACCTATTTGGCTACACCCCTGGCTGAGGTGCCATTAGGTCAATGTCACTCAAATTCCTGGCCAGCCAAACGCCCGCGGCAAAAAGTCCCAAATTGAGGATCAAGTTCCTGGAAAAAGGAAGTTTCATTTACCCTGTGGTCACGGAGTCACTTGTCTTTAGTTAACGAAAGATACTGGGGGAAAAGACCGACCATCACCACCCTGGAAAAACCTTCCGAGGCAAAAACACTGGGTTCTAGAATCGCAGGAACGTAGGGCTTTACAACGGTAGGCTGCCCAAGACCTACATGGTTACTGAGAGTTCGTTTCTCTAGCTAATAAGGGCAGGATCTAATGCAAAGGCCTTAATAATTAAGCACTCGCCCAGGGCCGAAAAGCTTGTTTGTGTTGGCGCCTCTTTTCCCCCTGGTCCCCCTGGTCAGGGTGAGATTCTCTAGACATAGCCAACTAACTCAAAAGATCGCTTCTGCCGCACGAGAACTCTCCCAGTCAAGGACCGCTCCAAAGCACAGCCAAAGCCACTAAGAGGCCAAGATGCTGGCAATATACAGGGGCCAGCCTGGGCCAAGAAGGGAAGCAGAGAAGGTAGGCAGAGGGGCTCGGAGGACCAGAACGGGACAAGTTCCCGGGTCTTCGGTTACCTCCGGAAATCGTTCCTGTCGGTGGCGAAGCGGTAAACGCCCCGGAGCCAATCTCCCACGTTGTCGGGAATTTCGGGTGCTTCATTTGGCGCGCCGGCAGCGCTCACGCCAACCCCGCTGGAAGCCATAGCAGCACCCTCGGAATCCGCAAGGCTTCTCCCGACGCACCGTGTGGGCGCCGGCGCAGCACGCAACTTCCGGTCTCGCACTTCCGCCGGCGACGGGCCGGCAGGGGGCGCCGCTGCTCCCCCGGGGTCGGGCGCCTGGGGGAGAGGGAGAACTCCCGGGCTGCGCGTCCACGAGCTCCGCAAGGCGGGGAGCGCGGCCCCGCACTACCGTCGCCGGGTCGCGTCCCACCCCGGCACCCCCCGGCCTTCGGCTCGCCAACCTGGGCACTGCCACACGTGGTCTCTGAGTGACCACTTCATTGGCTCAGGAAGATGCTGAGCATGGGGCTGTCCCAGCCTGTGGGGGTGAGCATAGGGGCTAGTTCAGCAGGGGATGCGTAGCTTTGCGGGGTGGGGTTCCCCAAGAAAGTCTCCGTCAGAAGTGATAGATTTTGCAGGCTTAAGAGGGAGCACACCAAGTTTGTGATCTGGCCGCCTCTCCCAGGCGTGCCCCTGATTGCGTTCAGTCTAGGATTTTTAGAGGGGGGGAGGAGAGCCTAGCTCTCCCACCTAACAGAGCACATCCCCTCCCCCTTCTCCGGGCTGCGCCACTAGCAAATGGTGCAGTGCTTCCTGGAGGTGTCGCTGTGCCCAGCCTGGAGGCTTCCGGGGGTCTTCCAGGGACCGGGAAGGCGCTGACCTAAGAAAAAGCCTTCGGGTTCCGAGTCAGAAGAAGAGGAGCAGGTGGGGCAGGGGGCGTCCTCCTTGGCATCGAGGGGCGTCTCCAGGCGGCCCCGCTCCCGCCCTTTGGTGGGTGCCTCCGCCTCGTCCCCAGCTCGACCCTCCTGCTCCGGACTGGATCGAAGCCGCCCCCTCTGGGTTTCCGGGCTGGAGCGGGAGGCAGCGGCGAGAAGGGCTGCCCGGGAGATGGTAGCGGCGTCCAGCGGGGAGCAGTCTCCCACTGCAACTCTCTCGAGTCTCGCCTCCCCTGTTCCGGGCCGGGTTAGAAACGCCCATCTCAGAGCCGGGAGTCTCCCTCTCCCGGATCCGAGCGGGGCGGGCCCAGAAGCCAGTTCCAGCCAGGATCCGGCCTCCCGCCCCGCCCCCGAGCCGTGCGCGCCGCCGCCGCCGCGACTCCTCTCCCGGGCTCCCCCGCCCTTCCCCGCCGCCGCCCACCAGAGGGCGACCGCGTCCCCAGTCCGGGAGCGAGTCCCGCGCCGCAGCCCCAGCGGTGGCGCGGGGTGGGTTCGGGAGGCCCTTGGAGCGCTCCGGCCAGGGACGCGCGGTGAGAGCTGCGGGCCCCGAGGCTCGGGTCTGGGGGGTGCGGTGGGGGGACGGGGGCGCTGCTGGAGGGACGGGACGGCGTGGGACCGGGGCGAGGGTCTCAGCCCGGGAGAATCCCCTCCTCAGCCCAGCCCAAGCCGCTGCCCCCTTCCCCCTTGATCTGCACCTTCTCCCTTACCAAGCGGCGCCCTCCCTTCCAGTGTTGGGGCCTGGCTCGAGCCGGCATTCGAGTAGCGACTCTTAAAGCAGCGGGGGCAGCAGGGGCGGCCCCCCGGCAAGGCATAACGTCCCCCGCCCAAGGGCCCGGCGCAGTCCTGGCAACAGAAGTGGTTCTCGTGCCAGCGCCGTCCCTCCGCCTCGGTGCAGCGCCGGGAGAAGATCAGCTGGGAGAGGGAGGGAGAACAGCTCATTCATTCATTCATTCACTCACTCATTCATTCACCCAGTAACCACGCCTTATACCCAGTTAACGCTAAAGCACGTCTACAGACATCCCATTTGATCTACTCTTCCACTCTCGGATGCAGGGAGGGCTGATTGGCCTAGCCAGAATCCCGCTAGCAGGTGGCACAGCCTGAAGAAGCGCGACCCCGGTCGCCTGGACTCCCAACCCAGGGTTCCGCGCGGTCTCTTATGCTGACATTATGGCAGGTCCTCGCCTGATCAGGCACAGCACTGGGCACCCGAGATGAACGGCTGTCCAACAGTCCCTGCTCCGGAGAAATTCTCTCAGTCCAAGAAAATCTGGGGGACTCCGTTTGCAGTGGGGGAGGGCACAAGGCAACGGGTCCCCACGCCCAGAACTCAAGGTCCCAGGCTGGTTCTGAGTTCTTCGCTCCGCGGTACTGGCAGAGGTGTCCCCTTACACCCTGCCACGTTGGGCCCTGGGCAGCCCCCTCCCAGCAACCCGCGTCCGGCCCGTACCTGGTCGCAAGCCGGGCAGCGCGGCCGCAGCAGCTCTGCATGATGACGGCCGCAGTAGAGACGCCCGTCGTGGGAGAAGTAGATGAGGTGTAGCAGGGCCTGGCCGCAGGCCTGGCAGGCAAAGCACGCCGGGTGCCAGCCGCGCCGCTCTCCGGCCGGGGCTGCGCACACTCCGTACTCGCCTGGCCTCAGCGGCTCCCTGCACTGCCAGGCGGGGGGGCCGGGGGGGGGGGCGGGTTGCTGGGCTGCACAGAGGCCACACTCGCTCCTAGCTTCCCTCCTGGCTCTTCCACCCCAACCCCAACCTAACTGTTCTCCCCATACCCCCAGCAAGCCCACCTCCACTGCAGGCCCCACTTAGAACCCCTAAACTTGGCTTCTCTTTTTCAAGTGGGCCAAACTGTCAATCCCCAACACCCCCCGCCGCCCCCCCATCCCTGGAGCTCGCCCCTTCTGCAGAAGTGAGAAGGCAAAGGGGAATGGGGGAGGGCACTACATACCTTCTCACAGGTGTGTTTTGCCAGCTTGGGAGGTACCAGGCAGGCCACCCCCTGTCCCAGGGCCTCCCGCCTCCGCTGGGCACAGAAGAGCCGCAGCTCGGCCAGCTCATCCTCCCCAAGGGCCAGGCAGTAGCGCTCCTGCAGAAACAGGCCTCCACTGAGACTGGGAGAGCCCCAGCAGGCAAGACCGGAGCTTGACTGGAGGGAGAAGGCTTAGCTGCTGGGTCAAAGGAAGGTTGTAGAAGCTCCCGGAGATGCAGAAGATAACAGCGCAGAAGGGCATTGAGAAGGAGAGGGAGAGAGGGAAGAGAGATGGAGGGGTCTACCCCAGTCTCACCTCCCCCCAGGAATGGCCACCACGCAGGTCCTGACAGCCCACAGCACTGAGCCCTGTCACCACAAATTTAGATCCCTACCCCCAGTGAGCTGGGGCTCACTATCACTTTCTGTTGTTTTTCCAATTTATGCCATGTTCTCCTGTCTTGCCCCCCTCCCTCCCGGAACTGAAGTGTAAGCCTTTAGTCTGGGCACACATAGGGCCTCAATAAATACTTGACCACACTCTCTACATTTGTACATTCCATTATCGGTTTCAAAAGTGGTTCATGTCCATTTTCTCATTTGCTCTTCAGCTAAGCATTGTGGGCAGGGCAGATGCTATTGCACCCATTGTATAGACTTGAAAACTCAGGCTGGGGATGGGGGATGACTTCTCCAATCAGTGGCATAGCCAGCCAGGCCCTAGATCCATGTTCTCTGGCTTCTGGACCCACAGTAAATAGAGAGAGGGAGGTGAGAGCTCGGGACGCTGGAGAGAGGGAGAGACCCACATCACTGTCCTGTGGAGGCAGCTGCTGCAGGAGGATCCGAAGCCCAGGCCAGCTGGAGGCCCCGCCGGTGTCCAGGCCAGGGAGCCCCAAGCTCAGAACTTTAGGATCCTGAGGAGATGCAGCAGGAGAGGGGTGGTTAGGTTTGCCTTCCTCTTCTCTCCTCCCTCCTCACTGCCACCTCTTCTCCAATCTGGAATGACTTCCAAGCACCCCCTCCTTCAAGATCAAGATAAGGACAGCTGATCCACTCTGGCATCTGTGGTCTGATTGAGGCAGGTTGGGGAGCCCCCACACCCCAAAATGGAATCCTTTCTTATGCTTTAAATCACCCCCCTTTACTTCATTGGGCCAAAGCCTACAGTCTGCTTTGACAACACAGACCACTCCCCCACCCAGAGGTAATGTGTATTCATGTAGGTAAGTTTAAAGTCAAACCCCCGGTCTCCCATCCTGAGGGGGCTGTAGAGACAGAGATTCCTGCAAAGAGAAAAGGGCCGTGGGAGGCTGGGCACAAAGGCTAACTACCTTCTAGGTGGTGGAAGTGGGAGGAGGTCTGTAGGATGGAGGGCACGTTGGGTCTCAGAGGGAAGGGAAGGGCTCCCGCTACCTGAGCAGACGTCTCCTCAGGGTGCTCCTCTGGCAAGTGGCCTGGGTCACTGTCTGAGTTGGTTGGAGGACCTGGCTCCTGAGGGCTGAGGCTCTCCCCCTCGTGGGGCCAGTCAGAGTTCAGCCCTGACATCGTGACAAAGTCTGCCCAGAAAACAAGAACACCTTCCATTTATTGGCCCCTTACAATGTGCCAGGCCGTGCTAAGTGCTCTGCAGGAATTATCTCCTTCCATCCTCCCAACAACCAGAAGACATGGGTGGTATTCCTGTTCCCATTGTATAGATGGCTACACTGAGGCTCAGGGAGCATAAATGCCTGAGGTCACATAGCTACTAAGTGGCTGAGCCAGATCTTGAGGCCAGGCCTTTGGGCTCCAGAGTTTCTGAAGCTCAAATTCTGGGGTTGCCCAAGATTGGGAAGGAGGCAAGAGGAGGCTTTTCTAGTGAGCCTTTGGGCAGACTGGCCCCTTCCCCGCCTCCCCAGCCTTAACGCCGCCATTCCTCATTGTGCACTGACTACCCCAGTGAGCCTGAGTCCTCCACACCCCCAACACAGGCCCCACTTTTCCAGCTGTAGGCTCAGGCCAGGTAAAAGGACCACGTCACCAGGAAGCCCTTCTCAGCCCTTCTCAGCCCCTCCAGCCAATACCAGCTCTCCCTTCCCTGAGCTCCAGAAGTACGTACAGTCTGCACCCCGAGGTTTAGTACTAATGTTTCTCTTGGTGCCCTCTGCCCGTCTCAGTTCCTCATCTAGTCTCTAAGCTCGAGGACAGAGGAAAATCTTGTGCTTCTGGCTTCTACCTACAGCAGCAATTTCCAGTTTCACTGGATAATTCTCAACACATCTCTCTAGCCCTCCTTGGGGCCGGCCCTAGCAGGACCAGAGTATCTTGGGGGTGGGGGTGACTACTGAAGTAGAAAAGGGATGGGCCCTGCCCTCAAGGGGCTCATAGTCCAGTGGCTAAGAGATGAGACCCGGCAGAATGAGGCTGGGGCTCTGGGCAGGTATATACAGCACCTTAGGAAGAAAAAGAACCAGAGCAAACTTTTCTATAATGTTTACTTTGTGCAACGGACTATACTAGCATTTTACATACTATAATGCATCCTCAAAACAATCCTATCAGGTAGTTTCTGTTATCCCATTTGATGGTTGAAACAAATTGAGGTAAACTTACCTAAGGTCACACTAGAAAGCTGAGGGATGTCCTAGGTCGAGGTTGCCTTTGAGATCCGGGATGGATTCTGACAGCAGCTGGGCACAGGAGGGCCTCACCAAATCCCAGGCCTCTAGAAGACCCAGCTGTGGAGTTGGGAACAAGGTTTGGACTGTAACAGTTACATTGCTTCCCAGCCCTGAGCACCCACCCCGGCACACCTTCCGACGTCCTGAGCCACCCATCCCTGCTTCCACACCCATCTGCTTCCTTCCTGTTCTGTCCCTCCGGTCAGTTTCCTGTGGAAAGCAGCCAGGATGGGCTGTTTACGTTCAGGGCCAAGAGGAACCACTTCCCCTAAAAGCACTGCCCCTGCTCCAGGCAGCAAGAGGCGTTTGGGAGAGGGTCCGGCACAGAATAGGGGCCATCTGGGACCTCAGAGTGGATTTGCACCCTCTCTTCCAGGTTATAGTTTGTATGAAATTGCCGCCCACAGAAACAATGCTCAGAAATCAGCTCTCACCCCTCACCCTTCCTCCCCCCGCCCCACCTCTACTCAGCACTGGACCAGATCTTACTAACACGCTGGATTCCTTCAAGAATTACCCTCCCCTCAGGGCTGAACCCCTTCTGCCCCCCCGCCCCACCCCC